CCTCCAGGTGTTTGTAGGTGCCACAAGAGCCCGTGATTTCTGCTCTTCGGGGCTCAGCAGCAGAACAGCCCTCAAGGACATCAGCGAATCACCCTGTTCTTTCTATTTGAAGGGAGACTTTGGGCTTCCAGGCAGGCAGGGGAATACGCAGCGCCTGTAAGGAACATCACCACATGTTCTTCCCAGCAGCAGTGCTGGGCAAGCTCGTTACCAGCTTCTCGGGTTAGATCTGAAGAACTGGGACCGGGACCATCTTGCTTTGCCTTTGAATTGACAGGAGCCCTGAGCTCACAGTACTGATGATGGTCTCTCATACACATACCATTGCCCACTTTTTCCTTTCAGTGACCACGTGACAGCAGCATTGTAGCATCACTTCTAACTCTTCCACTGTGCAGCTCCAGACTGCATTTACGTGGCTTCCTAGGGAATATGCTGTTTGCTTTTATTTTGCATAGAGCCCTTCATTTAAAATAATCACAGAATACCTGGAAAGGATCACTTCTGTGCCATTTTTCTGACAGAACTTTTCCAGGTAAAAAAAGCACAGGTTTTTACCAGTTATGGTTTTGGCCCCGTTCCCATTGCTTGTTTGTGGGCTGCAGGACGTGGTGTGCAGATTGGCCCATGCCACCTGCCGAGAGATGTGGAGCTGACTTGTCCCCTGGGTGTTTGGGGATCTCAGTCCCATTCCCACCAAGGTGTGCCCCGAAGGGGCACTAAGATGGGGCAGAAGGGAGCAATCGCTGCCACTGATGCCTGGTTTCTCTCCTCTCACAGGACACAAGTACGAAGGAGTCCGGTTTGAAAAGGGAAACTGCGGAGTCAGCATCATGAGAAGTGGTAGGCAGTTTCTGGTCGTTGAATGAGCACGAATTAAACGTTTTGGAAACCCGTAAGCAACTTCCCTTTCACAAATGTGCAACACCAATTCTCTACAGCAAAGTTTTACCCAAACCTGCCAGTTGTTACTCTTTCTTAGCTATCCTCGGTCTCAGAACGTCAAGTAACATGCTTCATTAAGTTTTTAGGAGACAAATGGCTGCAACAGATTCCATCCGGGCTCTTCTCCAGCGACTGTTACCTGTGAGAGGCCAGGCCAGTGTCCTGCCCTGTTTGCTGCCAGTTTACTGCTGCTTAGAGACAGGTCTCCACATAAGCCATGCTCAGTGGTGGTGGAGTTTCTGTGATTTTGCCCAATGCTGGGGAAACCTTCGTAGCTGTGATGTGAATCCCGTGGCTCCACCGCTCCCTGCGCTGCGTTCCACACCGCGGTGTCTCGGGGCAGAGCTCAAAGACGTTCTCCAAACCCCATATGGCTGTTTCGGTGTTTCCAGCTCTCGCCTTTGAGAGCTCAGCACTGGTGTGTGGCAACACTAATACCCAGGAGCTGAGTAACACCAAAGAGACTCGTTTCTCCGTCTAAACAGAGAAAAAAGGAAAACCACTTCAAGTGGTTTTAACATTTAGAACTGAGGGGGAAAAAAAAAAGTCCTTTTCAGAACTCTTCACCAATCCAGCATCAGGACTGTCTAATTATCCTAATTGTCCTAATCAGCATCTTGCAATTGTGCTGTTTCTCAGCATGTAACAATTTGTTGTTTTTTTTTTTTGCTGCTCGTTTTGAGGAGAGGCAATGGAACAAGGTTTACGAGACTGCTGCAGATCGATCCGCATCGGAAAAATCCTGATACAGAGCGACGAGGAGACTCAAAGAGCAAAAGTGTACTACGCCAAGTTCCCACCTGACATCTACAGGAGGAAAGTTCTTCTGATGTACCCAATACTCAGTAAGTGTCTTTCCTCACTACGTACCGTTAGGCTCATCTGAACAGTGAGTGCGCTGAATGGAAAGGAAAACTTCCAAATTTCAGCGGCTTTGATGAGGGTTTTTGCTTGGTTTAGGGAATTTATTGGGCTGTGCCAGAATACACATTAGTCAGCCTGCACCAGCGTGAACACAGAGCGAATCATTCGGGCACATCTACGTTTGTGAGAAAGGCTGAAGCATTAAGGCTTGATATAAATTTAATTTTTTAAATTTTGCCATGAGAAAAGACTCAAACAGTATATTCTGCATATATTCAAATGGATATTCTCGCATGGCCCAGGACAAGTTCTTAACTGGGGGAAAAATGAAAAATCTCACTTTTCCCCTTGTAGGTACTGGTAACACGGTCATTGAGGCTGTGAAAGTTCTTGTGGAACACGGCGTGCAACCAAGCGTCATTATCCTGCTCAGCCTGTTCTCCACACCTCACGGTAAGTGCAGGGGTGCCAGGGGACAGGACAGCGAGCGCAGGTACGTCTGATGGGCAACAGTTACGTTAGTCTCACGCTTGGGTAACGCCAGCAGCATCAGGAGAGAGCTTTTCCCGTTCTTTTCCTTTTGGCTAAACTGTAAAACCAAGAGTGACCAGTGACACGTTTGGCGTGGGCAGGGTGTGGGGCAGCAGAAAGGAAAAGGTCTGTCACACTTAATGGCAAAGCTGCACATGGTCAGGTATTCCTAAAAGCAGGAACATGCAAGTGCTGCCAGGTACACAAAACGCTCCGGTGGCTCACAACGCAGCGCCGATCCTGCTGCCGCTCAGGACTGCAGCAGCCCACGGATGGCGCTGAGTTGTTCCACCACCAAAAGAGCACCAGTTCCGCAAGGAGCCGGAGGTAAATGAAGCCACAGAACTGTCCTGTCCGCATGTTAAAGATCTTAACTTGTAAAAGCGGATCCCAAAAAGGAACCTCTGTTTCTGCGAAGCAGGGGAATGGATCTTGTGCGTTGTTTTAAAAATTGGCCATGGCAGAAATCGCTATCAAAAAGGTCAGCTGAACTGCAGAGAGTTATTCCCGGCAGTCTGTAACCACCTGGGGGATTAGACTGGGAGTATACATGTACGGTAAAGAGAAATCCAAATAAGAGAACCCAAAAAAGCAATCCCCTAAATTCAGGAAGTTTTTCCTCATAGACAGTCAGCTGAGGCAGAAACACGAGGTGGAGATGAAGAACAGAGCCTGACCTACCTACGGAATTCTGCTAATCGTGATGTAACGTGCGGTGCTGAAACGCAGCTGCAGTGCTGTAGTCATTCCTGCCTTTGCCTCTCTCAAAAGGTGCCAAATCCATCATCCAGGAATTCCCAGAGATCACCATCTTAACTACAGAAGTCCATCCTGTCGCACCAACGCACTTTGGACAGAAGTACTTTGGCACAGACTGACACACTCGGAACAATCGGACAGGACTATACGATGTTGCAAGAGGTTTTTTCTACGTTTTATTCCTGTTGAGCTGGTTGAGGGCATGTTTAAAAATCTTTTTGGCCAAAGGGGGAAATACTTGACTTCGATTGGTTCCGTTACTGCCTGAACCCCGAATCAGGTACGGTAACAAAGCACTCTGTCGTTACACAGTCGAGCATCTCAATGTTGGGGCTGTATAAATTACTACACTCTCTGCTTTAACTTATTTATTCTCCTATAGCCTGTCTTGTGGCTGCTTGCAAGAGCAAAATAAAACAACTAAATCACAGAGGTGTGTAATTAATTTCTAGCAGTAACGTTTACATCACTGCGGGTCAGCTGGTACAGCCACTCCTGACGCTTCCAAAATGATGGGGGCGCTTGGAATCCATGTAATTCTCTGCAGCCACATTGAATTTTTAGCAGAATTTTCAGTCTTTGGATGGTGGCCAAGTACTAAAGGTAAAACTCTTCTGAATTTTACTCTGTTGAGATTGTTTTCAGATAATAAAACGTCCGGAGTTTGTGCCCCGGCAAACTGGGTGGGAGCAGCACCGCCTACAGAAATTCTACACATACTTCAGTTCTGTCTCTTAAACCTTTGGTGGCTGAACTGGTATCACTGAACCCTTCAAGGAAAGCAACACTGGGGCAGAAAGTTGAACTCGGTTTCTGACTCTGTCTGCAGAGCAACAGGGCTTAAAGTCAAAAGAGAAACGTGGCCCTGAGGGCTCAGCGCCCTTCCAGAATACCCAATGCAGTAATTGCAGCGATCAGATTAAACGTAAATCTGCAGCCAAATTCCTTCTTGGGCTTTAAATCCCCTGGCACCAAGTACACAATATCCAACACTTCAACCAGCTCACATCTTACACCTTACTAGAACTTCGGGGAAGTTTTTCTATAAAGACAATATAGTCCATTATTATTTTTTAAATATATCCATATTGTAAAGTGCAGGATTAGAGAACGTTGCCACGAGCAGAGTGCTTCGTGCCTCTCGTCAGGTGGGCACAACGCAAAGGCCTGGGCTGCCCCAACCAGCACCTGTGACAAGGGGCAGCAGTCAGGGAATCCTTTTTTTTTGACCCGGATGAAGAACCTTCCCCCACTCCAAGCAGTAATTCCAGTTAATTCCAGTTGCGTAAGGCTCCCAGAGAAAGAACGTTCAGCCTGAGCACAGGCTAAGCCATAGGAAATAACTATTCACGAGTAGAATAAATTAGCCAAAAATGGTTTTAATGCAGTCCCTGCCTGCGGTGCAACACAAACCGTGCAGGCTTTCCAGTAGAAACCGTCATAGAAAATGGCAAAGCAGAACGTACAGGATACTCGGCTGTAGAAACCGTACAAACACTTGGAAACTGCTGCGAAAACGTTACACAAAGCTTTCATAGTAAAGTCAGAACAGTAAAAACGAGTATCCAAAGCTTTTGTAAAACCCCATTTGATCCCAAAAGTCTCAACGCCAGCAGCAGCGTTAAACTGAGCCCCATTAACATCCCGGATGCTGTCGGCAGACCCTTGGTGACATTCACTGGGAGACACGTGCATCCCGTTAAATTAAGGGATAATTAATTTAGCCAATAAGCCACTCTGCCTCGCCAGGACCAGGGCATTACGCTGCGGCGTCTGCAGCAAGGGAAGTTGTGACCCAGTCACAGAGGTCACGTTTTGCTTCCCAAACGGAGCCTTCTGCTCCCTGCCCAGCTCCTGCAGCCAGTGTTCTTACTGGCACAAGTTTTCCTGCCTGGCCAAACACCCGTGGGTGAAACCCATGCGTTTTACTTGGAAGCGAGGTAAAAAACCTCCTCCTGATGCTGAGTTCTAACACACAGGTCGATCTCAGGCCATTAACTGACCCTGAGATTTAATTAAGTTCCATCTTGGAGGGACCCACTTTCACAACAAACATAAATGAGTCTCTTTCGGATGAAAACCAGCTGGGCAGACAGAATAATGTACAAAATAGTGTGATCTTTGCTGTTCGGTACGTTACTAGCAAAAGGGAAGCTGTTCCAAGTTCCCTGCCCCAACAGCACAGTTTGGAATTGCTCTGGAACAGCTCCCACTGTCCACGAGCAGGCAGGAAGGTGGATGTTCACGTAATGGCTGCTGCAGGAGGAGAATGGCCACACACGGAGTAAATCCACAACAGCACAAAGGGTTCCACCTCCCTCCTCACACAAGCTCTTGCCATAAAAATTGTGCCTCCTCCTTGGGGGAGGCCACCTCTGCCCCAGCCCAGGTGGTTTATTGCATCGTCAGGACACCGGAGGTGGACACGAGGAATTTCTCTCTCCTACGTGTCCTAGAGGCTCCTGGATCCTCCAGAAAAAGGCAGGGGGAAAAACCCAAACCAACACTCCGGAATCCACTGCATTTTCCTTTCTGTTACGAAGGGAAGCGCCGATCTGAGAAGGTGCAGCACACACCTCTCCCAGTTCAGAAGGGAGGTGGGGACTGGTTGGTTGGCTGGTTGGTTTCCAGGCTTCCCATGGGATTTAACCCGAGGTT